CGCTATACTGCTTCACGGCAGAAATAGGCAGGGTGGTGGTACCCACCCGCGCGGACTCACAAGAGGTCCTACCACCAGTAATAATTCCTTGGTTAGTTACTATTATTTAGTGTTTTTTAGCTGATTGAACACTTTTCATTTTACATTATATTACCTTAAATTCAATATTCATTATCAAATGAGCGGTCCCTTTAATTTTCCTTAACGAGGTTGCTCATAAATTTTATTACGAGCTCTCTACTGCGATTGTTACCATTTCGTCATGTTAAGTATTTAAACAGTGCTCATATTTGGAGCATCATTAGGATTTATACTTATGGGTCTTGTGAGCCTGCATTCCTATTGCTTCTACTAAACAGTAATACGTTCCGATTTGAAGGGTGGTACAACCGTATTATATTTTTGAAAATTTGACCTTGTTATGCTATGCCAATCACACTAATACCTAAGTCATACATCAATGTTTACAAACATTTTACTCTACTCTCTCTTTTATTTTACTCTAACTCTTAGTTCTTAAGTTCTAAACCATTGTTACTATATAACATACTCATTTCCTTAAGTTACTAAATCATTTGTATATTGTTTACCTTACGTCAAATCTTAATGTGTAATTAGAACATTAGTTAATATGTATTCCTCTCACATTAGTAATGTCCTGTCATTTACTAATTGTGTCGTTTTGGTTCCTAAATATGTTTACCAATAAGTTTTAAAGACCTATTTACTAATTGTTTAGTAAATACTATTCATATATACATTCTCTTTCGGCTTGAAACTCAAGGAGTTCGACATCAATATTTCCAAGGTGCCGGAGCGAATAATAAATACGCAACTCATGATGTATTTTGAGGATCGCCAGCTGATCAGTGACCGACAGTACGGTTTCCGTCGTGGTCGCTCAGCTGGCGATCTTCTTGTATACTTTACTCACAGATGGGCTGAAGCCTTGGAGAGCAAGGGCTTGACTCTCGCTGTAAGCCTGGATATCGCGAAGACCTTCAGCAGGGTCTGACATAGGGCACTTCATTCGAAGTTACTTTTTTACTGGTGGTAGGACCTCTTATGAGGCTGCGCGGGTAGGTACCACCACCCGGCCCATTTCTGCCGTGAAGCAGTAATGTGTTTCGGTTTGAAGGATGGGGCAGCCGTTGTAACTATACTGAGACCTTAGAACTTATATCTCAAGGTGGTTGGCGCATTTACGTTGTAGATGTCTATGAGCTTCAGTAACCACTTAAAATCATGTGGGCTGTGAGCTCGTCCACCCACCTAAGCAATAAAAAAAGTTACCATCTTACGGAATCCCCGAGAGGCCCTGCTAGTGGATCGCTAGCTTTTTGGATGGGCGGAGCATAACTGTCGTTGTAGACGGTTGCTGCTCCGATACCATGACCTTTCACGCTGGTGTTCCACAAGGCTCGGTACTCTTCCCCACGCTTTTCATGCTGAATATCAATGACATGCTATATATTGATGACATGCATTGCTATGCGGATGACAGCACGGAGGATGCGCGATATATCGACCATTAGGATCTCTCTCTCTCTCTCTCTCTCTTAGCATGGTGCTAGAGTGACGATCAAAACTTGTGTCCGAAGTGGAAAACTCTTTGGAGCGAGTCTCGGTGTCGGCTGAATTGAACTTGGTTCAATTCAGCCGACTCACTCTACTCCATTTGACATGTCCTTCTTCAAAAACTTCAAGCTTTGTAACATCTTGACTCTGTTCGTGTAACATCAGATTTTTGTAAAGGATAAGTATAAAATAGGGATTTGGCCATCCACGTACCTACTATTCATACTAAAAAGCCGATCAAGGTAACGAAGGAAGGGATACGAAAAATTTCTGTGCGAAGGCAAAATGTTTTAAGTAAAGAAATGAATATGCACTCAGAACCATGTCACCTATATTAGGTATATATAGCTAAAAAATGATTAAAAACTTTTAGCTGAGAAAAGACAACATTGATATTATTAGATATTTAAACGAGAATTTAAAATTTGTGGTATAATAAAAGAGCATCTTAGGTGGCACGCAAAGGGAGATAGATCACAGAAAGAATAATTACTTACGAGATTATTTATGGCCCGATAAAAAACAAATATAACAAATTGTAATTTAAGTCATATTTTTGTGTGAAAGTATCAAAATAATCGCCGTAGTGAATTAAGGTCCGATTCTTGAGGTGATACTAAAGCCCCTTAACAACACCAATTATTCATTAGCAAGACTGACGATTTCAGCAAGACTCAGTTTCGGGTCATAGAACTTGAAGTACACAGGCGTGGCTGAACGTTTCTGACTTTAACAGAGTTGAAGAGTAGCCGTCGTCTAGTACCGTCTTAAACAATTTGATTATGCTCTTCTTTAGAGAGAATAGTATGTAATACTAAATGTTTTCCTAATTTGGAACCTCTAAAGATAGTGAATAAAAAAAATATGTGTTTCAACCGATAACTAGCTACAATATTTATTAAGACCAACGGAGATAATTTCAAATGAGACTTAAATTTGTTCAATGCCGCTACAATACTGTATAAATTAACACTCACGAAAGTAATAAATGTTTCATGTAATAGGAAAAAAACGATGTTTTCTTGTTACAGTAGTTTTGGTAAGATTTTTAATTTTAAGTTTTACTGGTGGTAGGATCTCTTGTGAGCCCGCGCGGGTAGGTACCACCACCCCGCCTATTTCTGCCGTGAAGCAGTAATGCGTTTCGGTATGAAGGGTGGGGCAGCCGTTGTAACTATACTTGAGACCTTAGAACTTATATCTCAAGGTGGGTGGCGCATTTACGTCGTAGATGTCTATGGGCTCCAGTAACCACTTAACACCAGGTGGTCTGTGAGCTCGCCCACAAGATTCATCTTTCATAAACAATACTTGCCTAGAAGAAAATAAATACAATTTTAAAAGATCAGTTATTCCTAATATGCTTTAATAAAAATCTCATCAGCTTCGACGTTAATGATGATAAAAATAAACAAGTCAAACGTCTTTAAATGAATCTTCAAGGTTATGGAAGTGCATTTAGAACAACGCGGCGGAATATTCCTACAAGTCGCTCAAGAAAAAAATGTCACCTAATTAAATCATTTAATAAAACAGTAATATCTGTTGTGTTTTTACATTGAAAAGAAGTAATAAAAATCGTAAGGGCCTAAACTAAAGAAGAGTAATAGAAAACACCAGCGATTTAATGAATAATTTTTTGTCTGTTTGTTTGTTTGTTCACAAATAGACAGTAATTAATTTAAATCGGAATATAGGTTCGTTTTATGGATATCGAATTTAAAAAAAAAGTTATCGTCACTTGAATTGATTTTTGGAATTGACTTTTATTTTTACTGTAAAATGTTAACAGTTACATTGGAAAATGCTATTATTAATGCAAAAATAACGCTGTCGGTCTGTTGCGCTTTCACACAAAACACTCAGCCGATTTGGCCGAAATACGGTATGGAAATAGTTTGAGCCATTAGAGAGAATATAGGCTACTTTTCGTCTTCTGAGCACGGGTTTTTACCTACGATATAATAAAGTGTAGTCCAAGTAGTTGTAGGCGAAGCTGCGGGAGAAGTACCTTAGTATGAAACTTATTACTAATACATATTTTTTTAAATTTATTCTTTCAAGATGTCAGTAACTACAAAATGGGAAACTTAAATATATAAAATTCTAGTTATGGTCCAATTTCGATAAGTGGGCGAACACTAAGAAATAGTATTTTTTGGCAATTTGTTTTTTAAACGCTGCTGCTTAGTAATATTCTTCGAAAAACTCTCGATGTGAAATATAATTGTTTTCTTTGAGGCAGTAATGTACACAACTCCCTACCTAAAATTACCTTATGCTACTATTTCGACCATTACTAGTCTAATATATAGATTTTAAGCTTCTGGGGTTGATCAGATCTGTTCATATGAATAAAAATCGTATTCTACATGTATTTTTTATCGAGGGTAATATTTCCATTCGATAGAGTGAAAATATGAAATTATTTTATTATGATACACCAATCACGTAAGTTTGCTTGTCCTATTTGGAAATAATGGCCCAGTGCCAAGACGAAACGTCATTATTACGCAAGAAAGTTATTAAGATGTCGAAAAAAAAAAACTTATTCTAGTACAAGAAAAACGTATATTTAGGTTTTAATTCATTCACAAACCAAAGTGTTAATAACAATTGTTAAACTTTCTATTGGCACATATGAGTAGCCGTCTTGCTAATATGCAGTTATCGAAATCTTTAAATGTCACAATAGTAATATTAACGCCTATTTTGATACTAGTTGTGAATGTGTTGATGAAAGTAGGTATAGTAGCGCGAAGATACTTTAGATAGGCAGCGGCTTGGCTCTGCCCCTGGCATTGCTGAAGTCCATGGGCGACGGTAACCACTCACCATCAGGTGGGCCGTATGCTCGTCTGCCTACAAGGGCAATAAAAAAATAATAATAAAAAGATGCATACTAAGATATAGAGTTGGTATCAACCCATGGATTGAAATACAGTACAGATGCATGACTGAACCTATAAGGGTGCGAGCTCTTGAAATTCTATATACTAATTGCGAAGTGTTAGTGTCTTCTAGAACAAATGGCTAATGGTCTCAAAGTATAATAACTACATACATATCGCCATTAGCAACTACCATTTGTTACTATTCAAATTAACGTTAATTTTCACTTTACGAAATCAGCTGCTAATATTATTCGATCTCTTTTAGCTCGAGCCTAAGGTAGCTTTATGGATAAACTAGGCAGGAAAATGGTTTAATCATGTGCGGACTCATTAGCTACAGATTATACCATCTTTAGAAAATTATCCTAGAATTTAAAGACTAGAAAAAGTTCTTACTTTACTGAATATAATAAATACTAAAATTTCCTAGATTCGTATGAGCTATCCGTTGGTTTAAAAACAACAAATAAAATTTGTGTTTTGTCTAAATGTTTTCAAATTTGGTAATCTTAATTCGTATTTTAACAGATAATCATCCAAAATGGTCTTCACGATGAAAGAAGGAGGTTTTGGGGTGGGCGATTATGTGGCGTTTGGAGTGCTATGTTCAGCGTCATGTGCTGGAGGCATTTGGTACAGTGCCGTTGGATCTAGAACTAAAGCTGTTGTAGACATCAAGGATTACCTCCTGGGAGGAAGAGCCATGTCTACTTTCCCAGTTGCTATGTCGCTTATAGCAAGGTAAGTTAATTCAATGATAATTGGTATTAAATATTGCTGTAAAATTAAACAATCTACAACGAGAAACTTTTCAAAATAAACCCATTTGTTGTTGAACAATATTTTCACAATAATACAAAATGAATCTTTATGTTCTTACCCTTATTTCCCATTAAGTGTGGTCAGCTTGCAGTTGGTCAGAAAACAACTCCTTTCTGAGATCACTTTCTTTGGGAACGGGACCTGGCGTTTAAAAATTAAGATAGGAATTATTGGGAAGGTTACGTCAATTCCCCAAGTAAATTACTACAAACACCGGCAGTTTTGGGAGATGTGATGTCACCTACTCTTTCTACTACTATTACTACTTCTTATTTCACTATAATCAGTTAAATGTTTTACAATGTAACTTATATCTTGTAAGAATCTCATATCAATACTTATCTAAACATTTTGACTTTGACGAATAGTTCAGAAAAATTCACAAGCAACATCCGGTTCCAAAGTACGCTTAGAGAATTACATGACAAATATAGACATTTCTAAATGATGAAATGAATAGTGAATAAGATACTAGTAAAAATTACACTTTGCAACGAGTGTTAAAAATCTAATTAAATTGGTTTTATTTTTTTTCGAAACAAAAATTTCGAAATAGCCGAATTAAGTTTTTCAATATTCAAAACTTAAGTTACAGAAAAACGTTTGATTTATTATTTACTTCCATTTAGGAATTGGTTATTTAGCAGTAGGTATTATAACTTTTTTGATTGACGATCGAATGACATATTTGTTTCCATAACACACGTCTGTGTGAACGCTTCGTTGTAAAACGTCATCATCGTTTTTATGAAAAGTCAACGTAGATCGGTATTTAATAATGATGAATTACTTTCAAATATTAGGACTTTACCTATGAAATCGCCGTTTAGTATACAAAAATTTAAACCCGTATGAGGTCGATTTTTGTCGAATAGGAGCACCCGGGACAAGCGGTTAACCAAGACTGGCCGGAGACTCGGGGACCTCTCCGTAATTCTGTTCAGCTCTTCACTGCATACATCCGCAGGGAATGCTGGTGCCATTTTGTAAGAAACTGTAATGCATTGGACAGGTGCTAGACCATCAAACAGTGGGCATGGCGTTTTTAGGGGTAACTTTTCCTGTAGGACATTGCCTAGGTGCTGAACCGAGGTCTAACCTACACAATCACCGCTTGCGATTATCCGAAAGTATTGAATATTGTTTTGATGCTAACATTAAAAGCTGTTGCTAAGTCGCCGGAATATTAAGTATCGTCTTTAGTTTAGTTTAGTCAACGATGACTTGTTGACTTTATTTAGCTTTTGAGCGACTATGGCGTTATTTTTTTAGATCGAAATTTTTATGCTGTAAGTGTGACCAATGACGAGTGGTGCATTCACTTGTAGCGTTCAGTCCATACACTTCATTAATGTTATGAGCCGTTCGTGCGCCATTACTACCGCCACGGAACTTGTGTTCACATAATTACTCGTTTTTTTATATTGTCCTTATTTATGAAAAAGATACCAGTGTGGTGAAAATAAAACACTAATCAATAAACAAATGATTAAATTTGAAAATAGAGTTCCATATATTTTAAATAACATTCAATTTATTTTGGAATTAATTGCCAGCCATGTATAAATTAGGTTTCAAATGGCCAGTATTGTAAAACGGCAACTTCATAGTTAAAGAAGACATATTATTTAGAGAAGGCGCAGTTTCGGTGCTAGATTCAATTTGTATCTATTATTATCGATGTACTCTCATCGATGCTAATGTGTCATGATAAAAAATTCTATAGGAAATACTGTTAGGTAGATGTTATATGGTATGTACATTATATAAATAGCATCTTCGAACGAGTTCCGTTGTGACGGAAAATTATAAATTGCGTCACGACTGGTGATTGGATGTAGTGTGAGCTCCCAAGTGTATTATCACCGGCTTGCCACTTTTCCAAGGTGAGTGGTGGAATTCCCGTGGTGATTTCTAAGACACTATGCTAGTATAAAAATAAAAATATGCCATGAATGACACGAATGTTGATAACAGTTACGTGTCAGGGGTGACGATCCTGGGTACGCCCGCGGAGATCTACAACTACGGGACGCAGTACTGGTTGGTGATCGTCGGTGTCACACTCAGCTGTGTGGTGGTAGCTACAGTTTACTTGCCCGTATTCTGTACGTTACGGCTTTCGTCTTCGTATGAAGTAAGTATTTACTACCATGGTACTAATAAGTTTCACTTCGATTTTAACAAAGACATCTCTATATTATTCTTGTACTGATTAGTCTTTATGTAAATCGATATATGGAGATATCCACGTATATACTATAATTATGCTGTCCGATTTTATCAGATTTTTTATACTTTAAGATAAAATTTTGAGGGCTGAAACGGCTATTTGATTTAAGCGACATTTTTGTAACTTTACAGGAGAGCCATTAAAATTTTACAATTTAGAAAAACATATCATAACAAAAAAAACTTCTTCAGCTATTTTAATGGGGTAAACTTAATTTAAGTTCAATTAAAACATCGAATGGTTGATGCTAATCTCTATATATAAAAATGAATTGCTGTTCGTTAGTCTCGCTAAAATTCGAGAACGGCTGAACCGATTTGTCTAATTTTGGTCTTGAATCATTTGTGGAAGTCCAGAGAAGGTTTAAAAGGTAGATAAATATGAAAATGCTCGGAATTAAATAAAAATAACAATTTTGTTTTTCCTTTTATGTGTCCCCGGTCGGTCTTTTATTTATCGATTGAGGCACTACGAAGTCTGCCGGGTCAGCTAGTACCAAATAAAATAGACCTTTAATTTAGGCGAAATGTCGCTTAAACCAAATTGCCTTTTACCCCTCGATATATAATAGAATGGAAAGCCTCTATGAAATCACAACGCATAACAGGGAAACGGAACAGCACAGTAGGTACACATAATATGTCAAAATTGACATTACAAACTGTATAAAACTCAGCTGAGCGCAACTTTATTACGTGTGACGTTATTTGCGGGTCATGTGTCCGACGAGCTAACCACAGATCAAACATACGGCGACAAATGTATAGTGCGTTGTGATTGAAATAAAAAGAAATGTAAAAATTTACATATCTTTAGAATTGCTACAATGAGTTTAATTGTTTGTTATCGTTTCACGTCACATAACTACTCGATCTATCATCATGAAATTTTGCATACGTATTGTAATGGGTATAGAAAAGAATTTCATATATTAAAAAACGAGAGTAGATTTTTTGTCAAAGTTACATTTTTAAATACTATTTTTAGGTTTTATTAATGCGGCCCTGTTGCCTTATTCCTTATAAGAAGATAGCTTTTGTATTTCAAGTGTTATTACCAATTTTCGACAGCCCAAAATTGAATATGTAGAGGAATATTTGTCAATACAAGTGATTTCGATTTAATATCTAAATGTGGGTATTTTTTTGGTTCCCGTAACAGATTAACATCATGTGGGCTGTGATCTTATGCCCAACGATACTAACAACAACGATTATCAAAATAATAATAGAAAGAAAATCGTCAGTAACATTTTGTTTTTTTCTGCTACAGCACCTTGTTAAAGTATAATGTGAATTGTATTAAGTCTTTTGAACTTTGAAACTAATGCCTGACTTTCTTCACACGATTTGATTAGCATAAAAGTGTAGATTTAATATTAAAAAGAAGCAACAAAACAAATCTCCAAGTATTTTGTAATAAATGCTTGGCTTGTATAATATGTTGATAGCAAAGCACGTGTTCGTTCTCGATTAAAATAATAATAATGCGTTTGGGTATCGAATACCATCAAAACTGTAAAACTTACAATCAAATTTCTAAGCGAAATGTTATATCGTAGATCGTATCGTAGATCACATCAAAGAATCACGGATTTTCCGCAAACAAATTGTTTCTTGGATAAACAATTTATCTCGTGAAGTTACCTGTTTTAGATCTAATCTCGGTTCTAGGTATTCCATCAAGCTGATACGAGAAAATGTACTTTGCTCTCTAACGCAAAAATTGTTTTATAAAGGTCGCTTCATAGAGTGACCGTTGTGTATATTTCTTCATTTTTGTTTCAGTATCTAGAATTGAGATTCAATCGCAACGTGCGTGCCGTAGCTTCTATTCTATTTTTATTGGACGAGGTAAGTTGTTTATTATCAATATGTACGAGTACTAATATTTTTATTAACCTTTGATTTTAACCTTTCTCAATAGGAAGAAAGAATTCAATCGACAATTGACAATTTACTCAATAAAGAGTGATGCTCTTCTTTTTGCTTAAGCTTTTTATTGGTCCAATTTCTATCAACATTTTTGAAGAGACCTTTATGTATTATGTTAAACTTGAGTAGCTATCTGCATTTAAAAATGTTACGGAAGATCAACACCGCTGTAATATAAGAAAATGTTTAAAATTAAAAACTGTTCCAAGAGTTTGTTAAATAAAAATCTTTACATAAGTCCCTTTTGATTTGAAAACAATAATGTTCGTGGCTTTACAATTCATACTGTAATTGCCTTTTTAATTAATTGTAACTCCGCTATGTTCAATACGAAAAAATAATTATTATTCTTGACGTCAAACGCACTTGGTTTACTTGTGTCGCTGCTAACGAGCGATCAAAGTAGCCATTGAACTTTGTTTAAATAAATGAGTAATGAATCGACTAATGAATTTTTGAATAAGGTATATATTAGAATCTTATATTTTTTCGGGTTGATGTGATTTTATGGTACGTGCAGTGTGTATATGGCATTACTATTTGGCAGTGATCATTGACTAGATTATCACGATGACGTTTCGTTTTAAATCGTCTTCAATATCGCAATCGACTAAATAACAAACAAAAAATTGTGATACTAAAATGAACTTCATAAGCGATTAATTCTCATATATATTAAGAAGAAGCCTTAAACTTTGTATATGCAGGAAGCAACCATGGTATTTAGTTTGAAGAGTACAGCAGGATAGTGCAATTGAAACTTCAATTTTAAGTCTAGGATTAGCAATCACTTTCACGTTGTAGTTTCTGTAGACACCAATAACTTCTTAAAATTAGTGTGCATAGTGTGAGTTTTTTAAAGTTCTCGATAGCGTAAAAGTTAACTCAAATTTGTATGAAGTTGGAACAGCGCCCCTTTCGCCATATGTAGGCAAACGTTCCAACTCCATATAGATTTAAGTGAACTTTTACGCTATCGAGAACGTTAAAAAACTCGCACTAAGCACACAGGTCGGTCGTTAGATCGTCTGCCTTAAGCTAAGAATAAAAAAGTGTGTCAGGGGGCTATTAATGCAGGCGGAAGTATTTGTCATATATATTAATATCGTAATGTGTACATAATAGTCTACTGCTATTCAGCTCGATCGCAACATTTACTTCGAGAAGGCCGTTGCGTGACACTGGCCATCGATGTCATTATAATGTTACGTATCTACATTTTTTCTTCCTATTAGAGGTGTGATAATTATAGATCGCGATGCTTTGACCAAAAATATATTTTATTTTCGCTAGTGACGTCGTGGTACGAACGCATTAGTTCCACTAGCGACTTACATTATCATTACGACGTTACAGAATGGATTTTTTTAAAGTTACTTGTTAGCTTTTTTGTTTAAAAATACATTGCTTATTTGTATACTACTGCAAATTGTTTAAAAATACATTACTTATTTGTATACCACTGCAAATAATCAATTTGAAAGCTTGTCAGTGTTTTTACGAGCATAAGTAAATGACATTGACCTCGGCTATATCTTCTAATCGAGTTAATAAAAGTGAACATTTTGAGGTTTGTTTGTTTGTTTTTTTATTGCTAAAACGGACGGACGAGCTCACAGCCCACTTAGTGTTAAGTAGTTACCGGAGCTAATAGACATCTAAAACGTAAATTCCGCCACCCAACTTGAGACATGAGTTCTAAGGTCTCATATTTACAGCACAACGGGCCCACTCTTCAAGCCGAAACGCGTTACTGCTTCACAGTAGAAATAGGCAGGATGGTGGTACCTGTCTATGCCATTACACATGCTATTACACGAAGTTATTCTTTTACCGTGAAGTCATTATTACGTATTACGTTAAAAAATGGCACCCGCCTGTGGGATTCGAACCCTGGCTCAGTTGTATCGCTCTATACGACTTCATATCGTCATAACGGGCTTTTTATTCTAGGCCTATTTTATTTTAGGCCACCATGACTTGTTGTGTTCACGTGCTGTTTTCATTCTGAGTGGAATCTTTGTAGAGCAGTTGGCACTTCAGGAACCATTTGTGTTCGTCGTGGTCTAAAAGAAAAGACGCCTGGTTTACTCTGCATCAAGCGATACCACTGACTTTGCCATTGTTAAAATCTCGCAGAATTCGTATATTCAATTTTTTTAAGGAAATACAGTACGCATTACCGGGCGTGAATACGAGCGACTTCAACTATAAACGAATAGCATCGTATTACAAAAATCAACTACCGTAGGGCGTTTTTATTCGTGCTTGAATAAGTATCAAGTATAGGGTACACGTACCGGAAGACGTAGCGTGGGTAGGCCTCCCACAAGATGGACCGACGGCCTATTGAGGCTCGCGGGGATCCGCTGGATGTAGGCAGCGCAGGACTGGTCTTTGTGGCGAGGCTTATGTCCAGCAGTGGACATCTGTGGGCGGATACGAAGAAGATAGGGTACACGGTAATATTAATGTCACCCCGTCCCACATAAACATAATGCATTTAAGTACCATGTTTTTAGTTGTAAGATTATGCTTTAGTGCCAATCGATTTGTAGTTCACTTTATCGACAGCCATTTGAAAAAATGTCACATGTTTGCGAATTTTATAATTATCCAACAATTAAGAGCATTGTATAATTACAATGTATGTATAATTGCGTTTATTTTGTCTCTACATTGTCTTGTCCAATAATTTCGTTTTGAGGTCGCAAACCATATGATTCTAAACCTTTTTTTCCTTCACGGGGTTAATCTACTAAGAACTCCCACACCTCTCCGCTGAGGACTTATTCAGGAGAGTACAAAGAATTATCTAAGGTAGAACGAAAATAAACCAAAAAAAGTTCTGTGATATGCCTCCACTGTGCCATTTCGGGAAAGTTTATTTTATCGACTTAAAAAGCTATAATGAAGTCCATAACATTCTCGGATGGACAAACATTTAAGTCTTCTCTTCTACGCTTTCACAGTAATTATGGTCTCGTCAGCCAAGCTTTCATGGTGTTCACCAACTTAGACCTACACTGAAAGTAAAAAGTTTTCATACTGGTAATTTATTTTTAATGTACTGGTGATATGTTTAGAGGTTTGGTTTTTAATTCGGTTGTAAATGTGAACCGATGTATAAAAACAAACAGGTTCCGGCAACTGAACTGAAAGTTCGATAGATTTATCAGCGAGATTAGATAAAATTCATACGCATTTTGAATTGCGTTTGTGACGGTAATGTTGCTTGCGTATGTGTATCAAACTGTCTCCAAGGGCATTATAAACTCAAGTGTCCTAGCGGGATATCAGTACTCGACATGTCAATACGATGTTAAGAATTTCTGTTTAAAACCGTACATAAATGTATGTTTTACCTGTTGAGTCTCTATATCGAGCAAGGATTATTAAGACACGTGTTCAGTTAAGTGACTAAAGTATATTGGGATTACAACCTAACGTGTTATCGGCAGCCCGACAATCCCGAGACTGACGTAGCATCTCTGCAATATAATTATCGCTAACACATACATATTAATAGTTGCTATGGGTACATTTGTGGTCCCTACATAATAGTTATAAACTTCTAATATCATTAAGAATATCGAACATCAGTAGGTAATTTTTTCATGATAATTAAAATTTTACGTTTGCTGCATATCATTCGTATCCTGCAAAAAAATGAAATTATTTGAACCTATAGTCACAGAAAGATTCGATCAAACAAATCTCAGCGGGTTTGACTTTTGATTTAATATCGTTGTATTTATTATTTTTTTAAACCCAATAATAAATTAAAAATCTACCATATTTAAAGATTGTCCTATCTTGTCGAAGCCTCAATAGTAACGCTTCTTTCACATCCTAGAAACAGGAATTATGACTGCTTCGCGCTGCAGAAATAGATACTTTGGTTTTGCCCACGGGTCCACACGGGTAGTGTTGGCTTACAATAAGCCCTGCCGTAAAATGCAAATCTATGCAAAGGCTCTCATCTGCTTTCGATCACAATTTGCATTTGGATTTACTAGTCTATATTATGATAATAATGAACCCGTAATATATATTATATCGTAACAGATAGATCGTAGATCACTATTATTTACATAATAATGAAATCTCTAATTGGTTTTTCAAGTGTTATATCTGGTGTATTACAATTTTTTGATGTAAAGCTGTTATTATTCATAAATGATTATTTTAATAACATCTAATCTCATCAACGGTCTTTTGTGGTTTAGCGATATTTTGTATTCATTATATGAAAGGTCGCAGTATATTTTTTATTATTAAGCTGAGCGTTCCTCATACCCCCCCCCCCCTCCCCTATTGTTCAGCTGTGTATCAGCAGTATTAGCTGATAACGACCGCTTAAATCGGTCTACAGTTAGTTTTTCAGTACGATGTTTACTAAAATAAAATGTAATAATTACACGTATTTCTTAAATTAGTGATAAAGATCGGAATTGAGAGGGATTGCTCTGTTGTTTTTCCAAAAAATTAGGTTTGAATTTTTTATGACAGTTGTGAATATTGACGTAATTATTCAAAATTGAACGTAAAACGCTTGCGCCTTTCTTTTCAATTTAAAGCTCAATTGGTTACAGTTTACTAATATTGTTTTCGGAGTCGTTCTATTTAGTTTCATCTATTTTCTATCTAATCGTATCTAATAGGGCTTAAATAATAATAATAGTTCATGACAAATTTTATTCTGCTTATCAAAATAAAAGTCATACATCTAATTAAAACTAGAGGTCCCGCAGTAGTCGAAATTGGACTATAATTAATTGGAATTGTAAGTTTGTACACTATTATGATTGTATTTTATATTTCTATAATCACAAATTTCGCCAAGACTACATTATAAAAAATATTAACAAAGGCTAACAATATTTAATCTATTCTCAATTTGACAACAGACGCCAATAACAAAAATTTGACAATAAATAGTATGCATGCGTGTGTGCGTCAAATACATGGTATGTAGTGTGTAATGTTTTCTTTATTGAATTAATGTATGTTTTATGCATTATTTAAAAAAAAATTAGCATTGTGCACTTCTTCTCTATATTCTCTATAAGTGTGGAAAATTTCATACTCCTCCGTTCGCGCAATTTTCGTAAAAAATGATACAAAGTTTTTGCTTCACGTATTAATATATAGATGAGTTTAATAAAAAAACAGCATCTTCATTGTGCGTTATACCTACTTCTTTCTTTTTACAGACCTCGATTTGATTGCGCATGATTGAATCAGCAGTATATATGAGTGTATAGAATAGAGGTCGTCCGCTTAACACATACACGTACTGATGTATAGGGTATTGTTTGTGGACTTTGATCGTTCGATGTAGCTCGGTTGCGAAGAAGATCAACATCGTTTGTATCGAATTGAATTCCTGTCAATTGTTGTTGTTAATGAGAGATTGTTTTAAAGATGCAAGATATATTTGCTATTATTTTGTATGCACTTGAAGTAATTAGTGCCTATTATTAGGGCAAGACGATCGGTGTACTCTTGTTGAGTATTCTGATAATGTCAAGGTCTAGGTCGGCCTCGCGTAGGCTCCGTTGGCTGGTGGTATAGAGTGGGAAACTAAAACTAGTGGATAATACTATCTACTGACTGTTGACTCCAGAAGCAAATGACACCCGGACCATCGTGAGCTCGTCTGGGTATATTTTGTATTAAAAAAAAAACTTAAAAACGTTTCCAATTGTTATTGTTTTTGACAACAAAAAAGATCAAAGTTGAATTTTGATTTTGAATTTGAATTCATAAGTCGTTTCATATTCATAGATAGCATTCCGATGCGTTGCGGTGTACCATTTTCAATGCAATTTTTTTTCTTCTCCTACCTACGCTGAGAGCGTTTGATGAATTTGAGAGGCTATTTCAGCGTAACCTTAACTAGTAGGTGAGCTCACGGGACTCAAACCTGACGACGTTGCTAACACGAACCCTAACAAGAGCTGTGCTTCGCAGAAGCTACCACCGGATCGGAAACGCGATCCACTGAGAATCTCCGGCGAGAAACTCAGTGGCTGTGTCTGTGGGTTAATTCGCTCGTCGAGCCTTTCGTCGCGCGAGTCTTTCAACAAAAAGTCTAATTTTTGTAACGATAATAGTATAACCGAACAATGGGCACTGTAAAACGAACTAGGTATTTTGTCACAGTTTGTCTAAAATAGTACAGGGGACGTTACAAAAGCAGGAAAATAGTTCACGAATTTGAAATTCCTTATCTGGAGACTCGAATATACGCATTTCATACAAAGAATTTAATTCGAACAGAAATAGCTCGGACTCAATCCTGAACAATTATTGATTTGGTTATTATCTATTATGAGAACTAGCTTGTTTCATGATTAACGAACTTTGATCGCTCACTGTTAACTACTTCGACGTCGTAAACAGAACAATGAAACGAGACTTTCAATTGAATAGTTAATTAACACAAAACATATTAATCGGTGCCTTGACGTACCTACTGTTGTTTGACCGATTCATACAATCATAAGAGTTAATGAAATTAATTGTTTTGTTGATTGAGAGAGCGCATATACTCGTATATATAGTTCTTATATTATTACTTGTATGTCTGGACGAGCTCACGCCCCACCTGGTGTTAAGTGGTTACCGGAGCTCTTAGACAATAACAGCGTAAATGCCGCCAGCAGAAATAGGCAGGGTCAGGCTCACAAGACTAACTACCCCTAGTAAACTATAGGATTTACAAGGAGTATAATATAAAAAGGATATTTACAGGTAGCATTGCTGATGCTTATGAGCGACAGAGGCCACTTACCGTATGATGGGCTGTATACTCGATACAAAGATAATAAAATAAAGCTAAAGTTGTAAAAATCATGTCCAAACTTGAGTTTTCATTTCATATTCCCTTGACTACGGTATACATATTTCTAAATTATGATACGATTGTTTTCATACAGCATCTAATCAAAAAAGTAAATATTGTTTCAGACATATTATCTCAGGTTATATTTATTTGGTAAATGAAAATGGCGCCGCGTTAACAGCACAAAAAACTTTATCATCGGTTTCTTTTCAGGTGTTGTTTCTACCGATGGTTGTTTATGTTCCGGCATTAGCTTTTAATCAATGTAAGTACATAGTATTTGTTTTAATTGTTTTTTTATAAGTTTGTTTTCTGTTGACAAGAGATCGTCTGACGAGGTGCTAACGTTTGGCTGGGCCACAATCAGGTCGCTAACTACCGCTAAGGATTATACTCGATTTCATTTAAAAAAGAAACACTGTTGGATTTTATTACCGATGGTACTAGTTAAATATGCTTTCTGAAAAGGTGCCGTCGATGAGCGCAGCGGTTCCATGCGGTTTTTTTTATTGCCCTTGTAGGCAGATGAGCATACGGCCCACCAGATGATGAGTGCTTAACGTTGCCCATGGCCTTGCCAGGGCCAGAGCCAAGTCGCTGCCTACCGTTAAGTATCTCCACAAGACTCGTTTGAAGAAGGACAAGTCATAGCGCTCGGGAAACACCGTGGAGGGGAGCTCATTCTAAAGCCGGATGGTACATGGCAAAAAAGATCTCTGGAAACGCACTGTGGATGAACACAATGGCTCCAGGTAGTATGCATGAGCTCTACTCAGGTAGCGGGCAGTGCGATAACATCACAAACAATTCTTCAGATTGTAAAATGTTGTAAAATGAACTAAATGTTGTAAGTGGTTGTAAAATTAACTAACAATGAGAACATCTCGGACATTTTCTTGGAGCATTCCCTATGGAACATACAAATATAGAGACAACCGTTCTTTGTATTACAATACGACTGGCAGGCCCTCGTCTGAAAAAGAAACTACATATTTTGATTTGACTTCATTCTAATATTCTATCTGATCCAATCAAATAAAAGCTATCTATCTAGTAAGTTATAACCCAACCGAATTGTAATAACAGCTTTGAATTCTTGTTTTCGTGGAAGTGTAATTTTGTTTTGTTCATGTTAATTGAAAAGTCAACCCTAGTGATAAAATCATTATGAAGCTCTAAGCAAAATATGTTCTAAGTAAAAAACATATATATGACTCTGATATAGACTATGTTTATTGATAGTTTCATCTTTTACAAGCACAGTTTATTTTGAACTTAGGGAAAATCTACCTTAAGATTGTTAAAATTGTACGCAGCTTATACTCTTAGAATGGAAATAGGTAAAATTTAACAGCTATGTAAATGCAATAAAATTTTCCGCGATAAGCGAGTGTCGGAGGTAAAATAATTTCAAATTTTAAGAAATGATAATATAATATGTATGCTGGTTATCGTATTTTTTGTGTGTTTTGATAATTTAAGAGCATCGTGATAATGAGTGGTTGTTTAGCATACAGTATTTTCTACGCGCATATTAAATAAAAAATTCAAGTGTATTTTTATGAGATGAAGAGATGACCTCTGAACCCACCCATATACAAAATGTATATCGTATGTCTTGAGGTAATAGGTCGAAGTTCCGTTGCAGCAATGATCGGTCGCTGTTCTCGTCGAACTTGTCGAATGCAACTTAACGCGCAGACACAACCAACTAAGTTTATCGCCGGATCTTCTCAGTCGGTCGCGATTCCGATCGGTAGATTCAGCTTAGCACTGCTAGGGCAGATGTTAGCAAAATTTTCTCAGGGTGAGCCCCGTGAGCTCGAGTTAGATGAAGCCAGAATAAGGTGACAGCGATTAGATTAAAAAACAAGCATGACTGTCCCGACCTTTATGCTGAAATGCATGATGATAGACAGATAGAAATTCAGAACTAAAAAGCAGAAAAGTAAAAGAGTGAATAGAGGAAGTTTGCACGGAACAAGAGGGGAACAGATTGTGGTCTATTGCGAAGATCGACACTTGTATCGTATGAGCTGTCGAAATATTTAGTTTGTCCTTTCGCTGATGTAATTTGGGGCATGAGCATACAATTTTTCTATCTCAATTTGTATTGCATGCCTGGTCATACCCGTATCATTGTATCTGAGAATTTCAAAATATAGCTTGGAAATGTATTTTTTTAAAAATTATCCGTAAACGCAGCGCGATACCTATAACAAATAACGCCATCTATCGGTCATTACAGTAAACGCATTTACAAATTAATAATACATCGCACCTTTAGAATTATAGAGACCCATTTCGAAATTTTTGGATTTCGTCTTTAATTCAAAAATGGACCTAGACGACCCTTTTCAGTGACTCTTAGTAATCAAATGACCAGAAGTAGCTTATAAAGGGACAAAGCTATCTATCGGTCTCTTTCACTCCGTCCCCTTCCTCAACGTTTTTTCGGTTTGAGAACTTTAATCGATGTTTTCCAAAAAACGCATTTTTGAGTTGGGTCTTTATAATTCTAAAGGTGCGACATATAATATGTAGAAGAATTTTTATACTACTCGTAGAACCAAATGAAATCGTAAAAATCTATCCAATTGTTTTTGCGTGTTGCGCACATAACCGCGTGCCTCTATCATTTTATTCATACACAATATTAATTTGCATGTTTGACATTAATGTATCTTTATATTAATAAGCTTCATATTAAGTGAATAGTATCTATATTTATCCAGTTGCCTTGTTGCATCTACAAATAAGGGCTATATTTCATCGTAGTTTTTTTTTTCATTTAGCATTTGCAGTATTATAACTTTTTTTATTTTTTTCCAGTGACAGGATTCAATGTCTTTGCCGTAGGTGGTATTATGGTTGTCATATGTGGGCTTTACACAGTATTAGTGAGTAGCTGATTTTGTTTTTATCTCCAAAATAACACGCATAATATGCAATAATGAACTCTATATAAGTATATGTAACACTTATTTATTTTACACTTACACCTATTTACACTGTATACCTATTTATTTGTGTTATAATCTTATAACTTTAGTTCATTGAGAGTTACTCAAAATTCAACTATTTAGAGCAATGGAATTAATATGAGAAAAATTTTGCATGCAGGGATTGCATGTTTTATGGGTGAAATCGATAAATTAATAATTGTAATGCTACAGTAGATAATTTTAAACATGTAAAGACTTCTTCAGACCACGCCGACTCTTTAATTATTCCTACATCTCTTTATTACGCTGTGCATCAATTTTGTATATCTCCGATCAACAGCAATCATATCCTTATTCTGAATACATCGACTTCTCTGTTTTCCTTATTTCCATTAGTACATCTAAATGTTAACAAATGGCTAAGCAAATAAGCGTCATACCATTGATGCCGTTTGTTAAAAATGTACGGCCCCCAGGGTGGTCTCCGCGCCGTGGTATGGACGGATTCAGTACAGACCGGTGTTATGTTCATCGGAGTGTTCCTGGTGGCGGCCGCCGGCACCATCGCCGTGGGCGGAGTGAAGGCGATCATCGATGTCGCCAATCAATCAGGGAGATTGCAATTGTCAAAGTAAGTTTCGAGAATTGCGAGAATTTTTATCGGGAGGAGGATCAGAAATGACGTGTTTTACCTGATGGTAGGACCTCTTGTGAGTCCGCACGGGCAGGTACCACCACCCCGTCTATTTCTGCCGTGAAGCAGTAATGCGTTTCGGTTTGAAGGGTGGGGTAGCCGTTGTAACTATACTGAGACCTTAGAACTTATATCTCAAGGTGGGTGGCGCATTTACGTTTTAGATGTCTATGGGCTCCAGTAATCACTTAACATCAGGTGGGCTGTGAGCTCGGCTACCCATCTAAGCAATAAATGAAAACACGTGTCTGGGGCGATTGTCTAGTCCATGCCGTTATCGTGCCTTGCCATCTTCTCAGAGAAGCGTTCTGACGTTGCCTTCAGATATTTACTTAACGGTTCGAATTTTTAATCGTCGTAAAGATCTACATTCCTCACATACCACAGCGCTTCGATGGCTATCCTAATAAAAACATGGAGACTTGTTTATGTGGGTACGGGCGAAGACTACACTTGCATAAGTCATGACCGTATGCATGCAAGTTGTGTACACTACACTATCTTGTTACGAAGAGACAATTTGATTTGCTTGTCGATCATGGGATAGGGCTTATCCATTTTCAGAAGTATTGTTTTATTTTTCATTTTACTCTGGACAGTTGGAACTTTTCGCCATACGAACGGCAGACCGGCTGGGGCGCTATATTCGGGGGCTTTCTCTACTGGACCTGTTTCAACTCCGTCAATCAGACTATGGTTCAGCGTTACATAGCCCTCTCTACCAAAAGGAAAGCTATTACGTGAGTATCTGTATAAATTAATATTGGTTTCTTATCCACCACCATAAAATTTTTATAGGGTACACTTTTATCAGGACCGTTAAAAATTATTCTAAATTTTTTATTTATTAGAAGTTTTTTTTTTTTTTTTATTGCCCTTGTAGGCAGACGAGCATACGGCCCACCTGATGGTGAGTGGTTACCGTCGCCCATGGACTTCAGCAATGCCAGGGGCAGAGCCAAGCCGCTGCCTATCGCTTAATACTCTCCACAAGCCTCTTTTAAAGAAGGACATGTCATAGCGCTCGGGAAACACCGTGGAGGGGAGCTCATTCCATAGCCGGATGGTACGTGGCAAAAAAGACCTCTGGAAACGCACTGTGGATGACCGCAGTGGCTCCAGGTAGTATGGATGAACTCTACTCCGGTGGCGGGCGGTGCGACGGTAAAAACGAGATGCCGGTATCATCTCGAACAATTCCTCAGAGCACTCCCCATGGAACATTCGGTACAAAATACAGAGGGAACCGAAGTCCCTCCGCAGACCTAAAGGTTCCAAACGATCCGCGATTTTTAAAAAAATCCGATAGTGATTAAAAAATATTAATAAATTATATGTTATCGAATTCTAGAGTAAAACTTAGAAGTAACATTATAATTGGAGACAAACTCAGTCACAGATTGTGAGAAGTATTCGTTGCTAATCGAAAATATTGTTGTAAAGAAGTATATTACGATAATGGTCCGAAGTACCTGCACAATCAAAATAACCCAATTAAAAGGGGACCACCTTGAAGTCAACCCGAGTGGTAAAAACAAGAATCTACATTATCGGCTTAGTCACGGCGGAGAAACTGAGACACATATCTACAAAAAAAACATTCGGTCTGAATTAGAAATCCCCATTTTGAAGTACTTTAAAAATGCTATAGATTGAGTTTTACGTCAAAAATGTATTTTCAGCTACGAATAACTTATTATTTATTCGTAGATTTTAAGTTATATTTAGTTATGACGTCACCATAAATAATTGATTTACGTAAAGATAAAGAGCTGTTCTGTGTAAATCTATTTAAATTTCGAAATCACAGAAATTCAAAACAAAGAGTTAAAATTTTTAATTTTAATAATACTTTAAAATATCGGCTCCAAAATGAGTCGTCCTATCGTCAAACAAACATTCTTTGGAAAAAATATTTTCTGCATAATGCTTTCTTCATAGTTTTCGTAATGTCTTTGGATATTTTAGAGTACTCATGAAATGGTAGTGAAATTTATTTACAGTGCTATTTTCGTCATCAACGACAGTTGCACTCAGGCTAAGACGCATAATATGTGTCCGTGTCCGGGAAATTTATATTTTTCTGAGGGTTTACCAAATTATTTTGGGCAAGATACCCCTTTTTCAAAATCAACTCAGACCCCTCTAAAGCCAAAGAACTTTAAAATCATATCTCTAGTTTTTTTTCCTAATTAATACAAAAAACTTTTTGGTCAAAAATGGTTGGTTAGTTGAGTAAACTTGATATATTTTTCTCATTAAATTATAAGAAAATAAATAAACAAAAAATTCGACAAATAAAAGGGCAACAATGATACTTCTTACTAAAATATTAGTCCGTTTTGTACATAATAAATTGATACACGTAACGCAACTTATTCGGTATCATGAATGGAGGTCGATTTTTAAACCCAATATCAGTTTTCGCTTCAATTCCTGGGAATATCGATCACTTTGGGAATCCCAGCCTTAGGCCGCTAATTATCGATTAAATTCCCGGCAAGCTGCCTGGTCTTTAACGAAATTTAATTGCCGTTCCTTTAGCGTGCCGGAAAAATACGGAACTATAAATAATATACGAGATCTGAACTTCTTATATACATTTGTAACTCGTGACACTTGCTGAATCCATTCCTCTATGATATGTTGCAGTGCACTAGGAATATTCTGTATCGGTGCGATACTGGCTATATCGCTGTGCGTGTGGTGCGGTCTGGCCGCGTGGACAGCGTGGGTGACAGGAGGGTGCAGTCCCGGCGGAGCACCGCTAGTGGACGATAGGTTACTGCCGGCTTTTGTTACATACGTGGCGAGGATGCAGCATTTACCTGGACTGGCGGGTGTTTTCTTGGCCGGAGTGTTTGGAGCTGGATTGAGGTAAGCATTGTAATCTAATAAAGTAGTCTAAAATACTGAACACTACTGGTCGTAGGGCGACTCGTGAACCCGCATGGGGAGGTACCCCACCCTGCCTATTTCTGCCGTGAAGCAGTAATGCGTTTCGGCTTGAAGGGTTGGGCAGCCGTTAACTGTAAAAACGGAGATCTTAGAACACACTTCAGGAGGTGGATAGCGGCATTTACGTTGTATATGTCTATTGGCTCCGGTAACCACTTAAGATTTTCGGTAGGCAAATTTGGGCGGCTCGGTTTGACCCTGGAATCGCTAAAGTCCATGGGTGACCGGAACCACTCACCATCAGGGCCGTATTACTATGCTCGTCTGCCTAAAGGGCGATAAAAAAGACCAAGTGGGCCGTGAGCTCTTCCACTCATTAAAGCACTAAAAAAAAGGAAGGAACTTTTATTCCCTGTTGTTAACTGGTAGCAATTTTTACAGCTAACTAACGGAACAAACAAGTTGTTTATAAATATAACACGAATCAGAAATGACTTAAAAATCCGCAAATAGAACAAATAGTTCGATTCAACAACGATGACATTTTACAACTTGTTTTTGAATCAAGGTTAATAATAAAAAATGTATTCATTTTACGAATAATAATTCACAATAATTTGATGTGAACAATTTAATTTATAACGGTCCACTGTGGATTGTCTTGAAAATTCGAAAGGCCAAATACTCGTAGTAGAGTTCGAAATTTAATAAAAGTATATCTATACTAATATTATAAAGCTGAAGATTTTGTTTGTTTGAAAGCGCTAATCTCTGGAACTACTGGTCCGATTTGAAAAATTCTTTCAATGTTAGATAGCTCATTTATTGAGGAAGGCTATAAGGCTATATAAGATCACGGTAAGGCCAATACAAGTGGAGCACCAATAAAGAATGTTTCAAAATAGGGGTTTAAATAGCTCCTTAACATTCTATAATTCAAAAATATTTTCACTTTCTACATAAATGAAGTGGGAGTAAAATTTAGCGTTATGCCAAAGTAATTAATCCACGCGGACGTAGTGCCGGGCAAAAGCCAGTATATATATAATGTTTTCCAAGAATTTTTAAATAAATAAATGGTGCGAACGTGTTCGTGTTTTATTGAGAGTTGAGTATTGTTTTAAATTTGTGTTCATAGTTCGCTGTCAGCAGTACTCAATGCATGCGCCCTGGTGGCGGTGGAGGATATCCTCAGGGGTTGGTTGCGCATAAGGCTGCGGCCGCTCGTCGAGGGGCTAATCGCGAGACTGTGCACCGGAATACTGGCGATCGTTTCCGTGGTCATGTTGATCGTCATTGAGAAACTTGGAGGCGTGCTTGGTAAGTAAAATTCGATGATAGGATGAGGCTAGAGGAGGCTTACTTGATAAGACTGTCGGGCCTTATTCTATTATTTGAGTATCTATATATTAATACGTGAAGCAAAAACTTTGTATCCCTTTTTACGAAAATTGCGCGGAAGGAGGAGTATGAAATTTTCCACACTTATAGAGAATATAGAGAAGAAGTGCACAATGCTAATATTTTTTTTAAAATAATGCATAAAAGATACATTAAATCAATAAAGAAATCATTACACACACTATATACCATGTATTTGACGCACACACGCATGCATACTATTTATTGTCAAACTTTTGTTCTTGACGTCTTTGGTCAAATCGAGAATAGATTAAATATTGCTTTTCTTTATTAATATTTTTTTATAGAGTAGCCTTAGCGAATTTTTTTATTATACAAGTATAAAACACAATCATAATAGTGTACAAACTTACAATTCCAATTAATTATAGTCCAATTTCGACACTGCGGGACCTCTAGTTTTGTTTATTAAAGCCTTGACAGATGTTCTCCATAGTTTGCGAACTGAGGCTTGGCTATTCTATTTCTGTTCTATCTATTTGAGTATACCGATATGCAATCGCCTTGAACTGTGACAGCTGCATCCCCATCCCTAGTTGTCCGGCGCTACGTCAGAATCGGTATTAAAAGCTAAAAACCCTACTTCCCCGATAGGTGTGGCAACGGCTCTATCAGCAATCGCAGCGAGCACAACATGCGGCATATTCACGCTGGGCATGGTCTGCTGGTGGGTGGGACCTAAAGGGGCCATAGCGGGAGGGATAGCCGGTGCCCTAGTGGCCGGCACTACGTCGTTAGGAACTCAGGCGGCTGCCGCCAAAGGACTGAGGTCGCCGCCGCTGAACATCACAGCCGAATGCGCTAGAAACGCGACTGTCGTTTCCGTCTCTGATTTGGTGAGTACTTGACTGAAATTTAGTAATTTCCATATATTTCTTCCTATTTCTGCCGTGAAGCAGTAATGCGTTTCGGTCTGAAGGGTAGAGCAGCCGCTGTACTGAGATGATACTGAGATCTTAGAACTTATATCTCAAGGTGGGTGGCGCATTTACGTTGTAGATGTCTATGGGCTCCAGTAACCAATTAACACCAGGTGGGCTCGTCCACCCATCTAAGCAATAATAATAATAATAATAAAAAATACATTCTCCCGGATCACAATGATGTTTATTTTTAAATCAGGATCCAGAGACAATATTTCCTCTGTTCCGGATATCGTATCACTGGATAGCGCCGCTGGGCCTCGTCAGCACGCTTATAGTGGGCGCCCTAGTCGGTTGGTTGTTCGATAAGAAACAGACGAACAAGATGGACGCGGAACTATTCACTCCGGTGATATGGAGGTGGCTGCCGCGCGAGGCGCACGACAACGCCGGCGTGACGCGGCGCACGTTGTCGCCGATCGACGAGTCGCCGGCGCCCTCCTCGCCGCTAATACTCGCCAAACTCGACAAGGTAGTGTGACCTGTCTAGTTGTTGTGCGATCTATGATTTTACATAGTTGTTTTCTCCTCTTCTTCTTTATTATTTTTTGGCTCCGGCACGGTTTGCGTATTAGCCAGCGTCAAGTAATAAGATTTTTATAATTCGTCGTTTTAATTATTTAGGGTTTTAAACGAATTAAATTTACAAAATATAATCGCAGTAAAATGGTGGTCATTTACTGAGACTTTTACCATGGACTTTTTGGAGGATCCCGAGACACTTTCACAAATATTAAACAGTTAATAAACCACCGTTATTAAACATTGAAACCTGAAGAAACACTAAACAGACAAAATAAAACAAATCACAGAATTCACTCCTCGCGTTCCCGCCAAAAAGTCCTAGTTGTTTTCTTTCTATTTGTTTATTGGTTTCATTTGTGACGTACCTATGTCAATATATTTATTCGATTTTCGAATTCGTTATGACGTCATCTTTTTTATCGAACAATTTTTGTCATGCTGTCAATTATTTGATTTTGTTATTTATTAACGAATTGGAAGATTATTTAGCTAGACATCTTCTTTTAGTTCTAAAGTCTGTGTCATTTGGTTTTTTTCTTCTTAAGCATGTTTGTGTATTATCTACGGTATATATATTTTTTAGTTTTTCTAGTACCATTGTATATAGTCCTGCAATTTAGCCGCTTTACTAATATTACGTAGACTGAAGCTGTGTCGCTCCTCAACCTTCTCTGCATTACAAAGCTTGGTAAGCTGTGCTTTCACAACTTACTTTTATCTTCTAATGGAATTAATTTAAGAAATGTAAATCTTCGATTCGTCTTCTCATGACTGTAGCTTTTATTTTATGTACCCACTAAACAATTAATCCGAATCGAAAATTCTAGTTCCTTCTAGTTTTATTTAGTAAAATGTATTTCCTTAGTGTCTGTACACAGCGCAAAAACAATTACAAGGTTCATAATTGTGATTGTATTGCCTCCAATGAACACTACGCTAACTCCAAATTCGTAGATTTACAGGAGGAGCGTTTAAACGAAAAAAGTTGATAAAATCTTTATTATTGCAGATGTATTTATGGTTTTTTTGTGTAACTAGCTGATTAACTCTTGCTTCAAACCGCATTAATAATGATTAATTGTAATACTTTTAACATAGTGAAGCGATTTGCGTGGAAAACCAAAATTTCAAAATTTTGAGTTAGAGTAGGGTTCATTGGAGGCATCGATTTAATACTATTTCATTAATTACAAATTCATTTACATGTTATTATGAATAAGTGTTAGGTATACTTAGAAAGATTTAAGCTCTTATGGCTTAAAATTATTTACCCCAATGTCGCTATTATCCAAATACGTTTGTATGTATCAAATGCAGCCCGCCTTTATAAAATGCCCGCCTATTAAAATGCATGAACAATTAACGTTCCTTGGTAATTATTAATACAAAAGCGCCTGACCAAAACTTTATAGCAATTGCATTACTAACAAAAAATAATAATTAAGTAATCGCATATTATCTTACCGGTGATAAAATCTGAGTTATCTTGTGACTTGTTCTGACGTATCAGATAGCCAAAGAAGGTTGAAGTTTTGGCCTAATAGATAAGACGCCCGGTGCAATCGTATCGAGTGATGCGACTGTACCGATGTTCGCATCCCGCAGGCGGGTATTTTTAAATAAATTAAAATTACGTGTTTAACACATCGCAACTTTGCAATTAAAGTGGCTTAACTAAGAATTTTAAGATAATGAGTTTTATATTTCGATCGACTTATAAACATGTATCCTATCAGTTTCTAAATTAAATTTAATTTTTTGTCTAGAAAAGGACAAAGTACACTTTCCATCTATTTTAGTTAGTCAATAAGAAAACTTGCAAATAGAAAACTAAAAAAAAAACAATTCTTCAATTACGTTTTTGGCGTTTACCAAAAAATAAGAAATTTGGATTAAGCCACTTTATTTCTAAAGATTGTTGCATGATGTTCACGAATGGCTTCCACAATTAAAGTATTACGCCGTGTAATAAAAATCAAAACGGATAGACACCGCCGCTTGCCTATTTCTGCTGCGATGCTGTCATGCTTTGACTGGTTTGACGGCTGAGATAATCGTAATACAATAATACAATTGAAGGCATGAATGGATGAAGGGGTTAAGTACCATTTTTAAGATTTTTAGTTTTTACATTGAATGAAGGTGTTATGTGCCTGTAAACCATAGTAGACTTTACAGCTCCGGATTTAAAGGCTATTTTTAGGTAGTGCATGTGATCAAGGAGTTATGTACGAAGGAAAAGTACTAGTTTGTTGCCCGTTTTCTCAAAATTAACAAATTGTATCATATCCCCTTCATCCAATCATGTCTTCAATTGAGACTTCGACATGTCTCGAGATGGTTGGGGGGCATTCATATTGAAATCGAGAGGTTAAAAAGGTTATTTGGTTTAAGCGACATTTTTCCAACTTTACAGGAGGAGAGCCATTTAAAGTTTCAAATTTCGAAAAATTATCCTTATAAAAAACCTTTTTCAGCTATTTGAATGGGGTAAATTTAATTGAAATTGGATTAAAAACATCGAATTGTGGATACTATATAATGCCAAATAAAACGGAGCTTTAATTACAAAGATATATTATGTCGCGTATTAAGCAAAATGTCACTTAAACCAAATTCACCCTCAAAATGTAAAAAGCCTATGCGACTTATAAAAGACCTAGCGTATGCGCTTTGAGGATATTTGATTGTTCTAATAATCTATTACTTATTTTTTTTTTAGATCGAAGTTAACGGAGAGACAAGTAAATGAAAGGAACCGAGTTATGGTTTTTTTATAAGATATATTTTTAATTGTGACTTGGATTCGTTCTAGTCACGTGATTCCAAGGAAAATGTGAAATGTGTATATATAAATACATTTATACACATATTTAAGTAAATGCTATACTGTATGTAAGTTAAAGGAAAGAAAGCCTGGAAACATTACTATTAAAAGCTAGGGTAGTAAATAAAAGTACGTGCCGAATTGAAAAATACCTTCCTTTTTAAATCGGTTAAAAATGCGTCCACTCTTTACTGATACACACGTTGAATTCAGTTTTTTTTTGATTAATACAAAATGTAGGTACATATTTTTTTTGTCAATATACACAGAATATGGCGCACAATAAAAATAAATTTGAAATGTGAAAATATGAAAATGAATTATTTATTTATTCAATAGTGATATTTTTGTATCTCAGAATGAGGGACCAAAAAATGTATCTATCGTGTACTAAGTGTATTAATTTATATTAAAATTATATTTAGATGTGTGATGTAGTTCCTACGGTAACTTGTAAAAAGGTTCAATAAATAATGTTTTATGTTTGTCTGTTACGTTATTCTTGATTAAAAGTTTTAATTTACGTACATATGTAATTATATTTAGATTAGATAATTGAAACGCTTAGGTTATTCGATTCATATATTTATAAATATACATATGTATATTAATGTTTCAATCGTCTTTAGTATTATTAATTTCGTAATTAAATATACTTAGTGTTTAAAATTGTAAAATCGTATTGTGATTTATAAAAATATATTTCGCGCCCGATTTTCTTCGCAGAATGAGAACATGTTTATTGTATATTCAATAATGGAATTTGGTTAGAGTGCTAAATAAAAAATATCGATTGAAATCAAATTAAACAGTAAAGTGGCAACTCTCTTTTTCACTTTCTTAAAGTGGTAACACTCAGCAACATAGTAAATAATTTAAACTATTTTTACGGTTTAATCTCGCTTTTAGTAATATTTTTATTGTTTACGAATATTTCAAATTCTTTAAAGTTTTTGGTGACCAAAATTAGCCACTTACCAAAAAGCCGCGAGACTAAGGTGTCAATACCTTGATATTTGAATTACCTTTGATCTTTTCAGTATTATGCTAACTACCGTCTATTAATTAAAATAAATATAAATAATATAATTACCTTTCTTTGAACACAGTAGTAAGAGTATCTGAGGTCTGACATTCTGTTTGACTTGGGTTTTTATATTTACGAGAAGTCTTTTTTTAAAGATTTTATGACCTGGTAATGAGACCATTAAGCCATCACGATAACAGTATACCGGATGAAAACAATAAAATGAATAAAATAAGGGATTAAACCTTAAACGTAGTTTTAATTATAAATATAACATTTTTATAGCCGCAATGAATTACAACTATAATAATATACAAGACAAATGGTATGTTCGCTTACATTAAGACAAATTACATTCTTACCTGTCGTATTTATAACGCCCGCGACGAACTTAATTCCTCGTACTTAATGATGGTGCTAATTAAATGGTTAATGTAATTAGATTAATAAACTATGTATGTTTATGGAGTAGAACATATTGTTGTTTAATTAGTAGAGCCATCCATGTAGACTTAGTTTATAATGAATAAGATATGTTTTAGTAGTTATGTTACTATTTGTTATTGTTAATATTTCATTATCAATACCGAGTAATTGCTTGAGATGATGTTAGTTTTTTTTTTAAGAGCTAACGTGTTCACATTACGACGTGAATGCAGTCAGTCGCCTTGAGACGTGAGGTTTGAGTCACAATTGAACATAATGCCGACTGAACGAACCTCTCAAACTAGAACCTTTGAATGCTTCAGGGTACAAAAATACAGGATGGTAGAGCATACTCACAAGCTTACAATTCACGCTACCACTAAATAAATGTCAGTTGACGATCGCATTACGTTAATACTGAATAACGCTAATAATCTGGTGAATTCCCTAGACACCTTTATGATGCCCAAGGGAAGACGTCATCGTGGCCTAAAAGATAAGACGCCCGGTATTTTCGTATCTAGAGATGCGACTGTGCCAAACTGCCCACCGGGTGCTATGTGGTTACCGGAGTCCGTAGACATCAGTATTGATGTTTCCACCCCAATTGAGACAAGAGGTCTTAGTACTTCTTTACGGCAGTAAGAGGCAGAGTGGTGGTAGCTACCCATGCGGGCTCACCGCACGTCCTACCACCAATAATTACGAAAATTGTACTTTTTTTAGTAACATAATGTATTTGTAGTAATGAGGGAATAAAATATTCCGGCTTAAAGAGTGTGATGACTATGAGCTCCGGTGGTCACTTAATACACGGCACGTTATTTTTAAGCGATTTCGGAATTCGAGAATATCGCAACCCACCGCATTGTACTGAACTATCAAATTGTATTGGTACTGTAATGATTATTGACCTATCTTGATGTTTGTAGCAGAAATAGGCCTTATGCTGGTAACCATCCATACATGCCTTCAGTAGCGTTATATCTACTAACTGGAATAGAATTAAAAAGCGCTATGAAAATGCAAAGGATCGAAATTTAAATTTAATGACTTAGGTTATAATTGTTTCTATTGTAACTCTTTTAAAATTACATAAAAAATTCAATAACGTGTTTGTGTAATAAATATAATTTACAATAAATCGGGTCGTTTCAATTCAAGCTTCAAAGACTGTAAGTAATGGCTCCAATGTGGAATTATTTATAGAACTTGCCACAATTCTGTCACGGAAAGTTTGAAAAGTTATAAAATTACGTGGGGTTTTACAGAAGTCGAATGTAAAGGTGTGGTCTTGTGTGTTTTTGGAAAAGCTGCAATGAATTTTAAACTATAATACGGCTATTTAAAAGGGCCATTTCATTGCATGAGTTATGTTAAGAGGAAATAGTAAATAAATGGTCTCTTGAGAGTATATAAAAAAAAGAAGACCCCAGATATATTTCCCGAAAAACTGTTCATATTACTTTCTAGGCATCTAGATTTTATTAAGAAATGGTTTTCTCGCTCTTTTATCAGAGTAGAATATGGAGGGAGGAACGTCACAGTAATGTTTTGAGAACATCGTCCGGTTGATAATGATTATTTCCGTTCACACTTTCACGAACCATGCCATTATTCTTCATGTACGCTCTTCTGACAGAATATGGAACTATTTATCAATTACGATACAATAAGATATTTATTAAATAAGCTATTGTCGGTAGTAAGCGGTTTCTATCCAAAACTTGATCAGCAGTGGCCGATTTCTGCAACCGTGTGATAAAATTATTTAGGCATGGATTATTTTATGAAGTCTTGTTACTAGAAATAACAGTAACATTCTTTCTGTAATCAAGAAGCAAATGAGAAAAACACGAAGTCACTGGTATGTCAAAGCCTTATCTCGAGCAGTCAGGTGTTGCCAGTCCCGCGAATGTGGCTGGTGATTTACATTCGACGCGCGCCGCCCGCTATTAAAAGTGCCACAAAATTTCGCGTTTCTGGCTGTCTGTCTTGGGGGATACGACGCTAACAACGGGTGAGTTTTGGTAAAACATTGTACACATTCACTCTGAATGTGTAATTTACGTGAGTTAAATTTTATAATTTTCCGCACATGCTCTCGGCACTTGAAGAAAATGTGCAATTTATAAGAAAATTACATTACATACATACATTACATTTTGTACTTATTGACCTGAGTGCATTTTAGTACGATACTATGAAACAAATGATTTAGAGGTTTTACTTTAAATTATTATTTTTACTGATTAGTAATGAAATAACAATAGGAATTGTATTTTAATGTACTTTGTAAACAATGAACCATTAGGCATGCAAAAGGACACGTTCAGTAAAGTAATAAAATCGCTAATTTCTGACAGAAAGCATCGTAAAACTGATTGCGGCGTCGAAAAGCCTTGAAAGGAGGCTTGATCGTAAACCGAATTGGCCTAGAAACTGTTTAATTGCGCACAGCAGCTTATAATTAAATGTGCGTAAAATGAAACGTAGTCTTGTGTTTGCTGTGGCAAAGAAAATTTATTACTTGTTCTGTATTTCAGTTGGCTAATTACTCAGATCAGTTTGCTTGTTTAGATTTAATTGTTCTTCCAAAGAATATGTCTTCAAGTTTGTTTGTTTTTGAAAGAATAATGTTTTTACAGCTTTTTCTATAAACAAACTTATTAGAAAACTATGTATCTTTACGATATGGGGCCGTTCGACCTTTCGGATTTGAACACATAAAATCTAGCATTTCTCAATTTTGACATAACGTAGTCGTAAACCATTTAAATATATATATGTATATATAGGTATATAGGAACATGTATCCTCTCTGCAGACCTTCTGTTGATCATATACCAAGCCGGAGTCTGATTTGTTCCGGCCGCTCACACTACTTCAGCCAACGACTCTGGCAGAAAACGAGTCTGGCAGATGGCAAATGCCGATTCTGGAATGAGCTTCACTCTTCGGCGTTTCTCGAGCCCCGTGAAACATTCTCCTTCAAACCAAAATAGTCTTCAGTGGTAGAAAGTTATTTAACTTTACCCTTGGCTTTATCCGTGTCCATAAGCATTTTAAGTTCAAGTTATTGGTATGCCGGTTTAAACTGCTTCAATTTGACTCCATGCAGCACATGACAATGAATTTTCAATGTCAGGTTCGCCAGGTACAGACGAATAGAGAGAAATGGTTGGGATTGCGAAACCCATCATCGAAGCACAATACATCATAATTGTATTTGAGTCGTCGTGGCCTAATACCGGTCACTCACATTCGCACGAATACGCAAACCCACAAGTGTAGGACGACATTTGCAAATGATTATGCAAAGTTTTAGCTGCATTCGCGGTTTTCCAAGCTGTGTCGGTTTTTTAACGGACATCAAAGCGTGCGAACCCCCGATCCTTCGCGTAGTCTCCCACACATTCGTGTGACCACTTTTTTTTCTTTTTTTTTTTTTATTGCCCTTGTAGGCGGACGAGCATACGGCCCACCTGATGGAGTGGTTACCGTCGCCCATGGACTTCAGCAATGCCAGGGGCAGAGCCAAGCCGCTGCCTACAAAGTTGCGCCCACGATTGCGAAGGTAACGGACGTTTCGCCATTTTCATAGTCCGTGACGTCTACTGCGTAGCGTACCTTCATCGTGGATTGGAACAACACCAAGGTGATGGAGCTCATTGAACTCCTACAAAATGAATCGACCATATGGGGCCCTCAAAAGAAATCCCATAACAACCGAATGGCCGTTAATGACGCCTAGGAAAGAATTAAAAACTCTTTTTCTCTTCAATGTTCTATTGACGAATTAAAAAAGAAGAGAAATTCGTGAGACCTTCGTAAACAAGTGTAGGAGGAAGCGCAAACGGGTTCGCAAATTGAATATCGAACCCATTTGCACAACCGCTAAATTTGCGAATGAATGTCTGACGGCCCTTCACATGCGCGCGAGCATTCGTACATTGTACAAATGTTCCCGCGCACGTGAGTGGCCGGCATAAAGGATAAGACGTCCGGTGCATTCGTATCTAGCGATACAACGATGTTCGAATCCCACATGCGGGTTCCAATTTTTCTAATGAAATACGTACTTACCAAATGTTCGCGATTGAGTTCCACGGTAAAGTAATACCTAACATTGTGTAATGAAAATCAAACCAGCAAAATCATAATTTTCTTAATTACTGGTGGTAGGACCTCTTGTGAGTCCGCACGGGTGGATACCACCTGCCGATTTCAGCCGTGAAGCAGTAATGCGTTTCGGCTTGAAGGGTTGCATTGTAACTATACCGAGATCTTAGAACTCATATCTTACTCTTGAGCTGAGACGGAAGATGACTCTTATGGTAGATTATTATCAGTTATTGCATAACAAAATTGATAACTCTTCTGCACTGGAATTAGTGTCGCTATATGTGCCTGATGGCTACATGCGCGGATGTATGTGTGGAGGGGTGCGTCGCCAGCGGCAGCTTCTTAGTACCACGCACGCGCATACGCAGCACACCGCTAACTCCGCGACACATCGTGCTGTCTCGCTACTCAATGGCATGCTAGCCTATGCTGCGGAAATGGATATATTCCATGATGGTTTGCAGCGATTTATAGCTGTTGCTAGAAATGACTTAGACTAAAATTATTAATACCTTACAAATGTTTTGGTTATACAGTAAGGAATACCCTACTAAAAAGGTATAAAACCGACGTGCAGCTCCGTCACCCGCGCATTTGTCGGTTGACATTCGTCGAGAGAACATCTTTCAAAGACTTTAAGTGTTAATTTAGGAAACACGAATTTTATAATAATGTTGAGGGTACAGTGCCTATAAATAGCAACACCTTTGCTCGAAACATTCAATCGATCGGCGGCGTTCGTGGGAGAAGGTAGTCGTGGACATGGTGTGCGTGAGTCATTGTTTTAAGTCTCTGTAAATGTGTGCTAATTGTTATTTTTTTTTTTTCAATGGTTTTTCTTATGAATCCTAAATTCAGAAGTGCGATAAAGAACTCAAAGCTCACAGACAACAGGTGATTACAATTACCCGCACTATATTTTGTTACTTTCGTTTTTGTGTTTTTACGTATATTTCCTGGTGTATTTTAAAGTGTGTGTGTGTGTGTGTGTGTATTTACACCTAAATAATGCCGCGAAGTACGTCATATGGACGTTCTCGGCATCGTCAAAATGACTCGCGTAATCGAGACGTCTCCTGTTCTCGTGACAATCGTTTACGGGACCGCTACCGCCATAGATTGTGTTCGTATTCGCGTGATACTCGCTCGAGTAGCAACGATCGTGTGTTGTACGATAAGTCGCGCGATAAACGCAGCATTTCATATCGATCTAGTCTATCACGCAGCGCGTTATATGGTTCGAAACGAAGTCACCGTAGGTCGCGACGCTCGCGTCGATCTCGTTATGTATCTCGAGCCCGCGATCACTCACGAAGGGCGTCGCGTCGTGGTGTTCATAGGAATCATGATCGTGACTTAAATACGCACACCCCTCCGCTGTGATTGCAAACCCCGACACCAGGTGTTTTGGAGACCATTCCCCTTGCCACACACGCTACACTTGATAAGTCTAGCCTCGCGGACCGGGGACGTGTGTTGAACTCAGCCCTGCGCGGTTCAGAGACCCCCTCGCTTGCTCAAGTGATTATCGATGCCGTAAAGGCAGTCCAGCTTATAAGATCACAGAATTATTTTGTATCAAACTTCGACCATAATATTAACAATATCGAGCCGTGGTACGAGGAGGTGGACCGTGCAAAGGATTTAAACGGGTGGACCGACCATGAGACTCTGTCACGTGTGGCAAATTGCTTAAAGGGAAACGCAAAGGCGTGGCTAGGTGAATGGGTTACTCCTGATAGAACTTGGAACTTTAATAGTGATACGGGGCATAATGGGCCCTCAGGTTAGAGCCGCGAACGCTAATCTACTCACGATTTGATTTCATTTTTGGAGGTCAGGTTAGGCCAAGTCCTTGTAGGGTTCGGGCACTAGTTGTCACCAGTGACGCGTAATATCAAACAAGTAGACGGGACTGTGTTGACAAAATAGTCAATTGAACTTTTGAGATTACAGCTCATTCTGAACATCACAAAATTCAAGACAACAGATATCTGCCCTGCAGCTTCTGGCGGGAAC